GCCGCAGGCCGGTCCGGGGTCCGGTTCCCTGGGGAGCCCCAACCTTCCCTGTCCGCGTGTGGAGGTCCGGCCCCGGCTGGGGGAGATGCGCTGGCCCCTTCCCCTCCCCACCACGTCCCAGGTCTGCCCGAAGCGGGGTCCAGGCTCCTCTGTGGCCCCAGCAGACGAGCGGTCTGTGGCCTGGCGGTGCCACGGGGCGCTGGGGTCCTGGTGCGAGGAGCCACTGCGGTCACCTGCGCTGGCCTCGCGTTCAGAGGGAGTTGCCTTGTTGCTTAATCCTCCCGTCCAGCTCCCTGGTCCTTGCTATCGGCGCATATTTATTTTAGTGTGTGTCAGAAGAGATGTGGCGTGGCTAAGAAAGTTTCCTTTTGGAAATATTATGCTTTTTTTTAAAAGACCGCTGTGCGAAAAGATAAACTGCGGAGAAGTCTGCCAGATGAGTGAAGCACTACGTTATGTGCTTCCCGAGAATTCTTTCCTTTATTTGAAAAACTCCCCCCCCTTGAGGTTTGACCCCTTTTCCTGCTTTCCTCTCCCAGGCGGAGAAGTGCGTGGCACAGTGGAGCTTTTCCTGGGCAGACCCTGTCTGCAGAGCCCCTCCCTCCAAGCTTGTGGCCGCGGGGGCTGGCTTGCCTGGGGAGAGGTGAACCGCTGAGGGTCTTTAGTTCCCTGGGCCAGGAGCTCCACGATCCATGGTCCCCAGAGAAGGCACAGCTGAGGGACCAGAACAAACCCCAACCCCAGCAACCCCAGGGCCAGGCTTGGGCCGAAAGCACCGGGGATTATCGGGGTGAATGCTGCTCTCACCCCCAGACTTCTCCAAACAGTCTTTGCTCTGCCTGCTCCAGGGGTGTTAGATGCTGTGCTGTCAGTGCCTTAAAATTTCTTCTTCTAAGTGGATATAATGCCCTTGATTCTGAAATTTAGACCATTGACTTGTTTACATATGAAAGCCCAGCATGTTTGAAGCCAGGGATTGCTGCGTTTGGCCCCTGGTACTAATCTGGTGAACCTCAGATGCTCAGAAGTTCTCCAAACCAGGTGGACTTGGCAGCCGTGTCCAGCACGAGTTGCTCCTTTTAATTCTGTTAGGAAATCCTGTTCCTGGCTGGAATTCTAGTTGGCCTGCATCAGTAGGAGGATAACTAACCATATAGCTGGATAAGAGTGTTTGATAAGAAAGAGAGAAAAGGAGATTGAGAGAGAGGCAGAAAGACCTCCGTGGCAGCCGGCAGCTCAGCTCAGCCGGCAATATGGGCACCTGCTGAAGTCTGACAGAGAAGAGAAAAAGAAGGTTGACTCTTTGTAAATTAGCCACCAAACATGTTCTGAACTGGGAGCCCTGTATTGTTCTGTCCTTGGCCTCTGGGTGGACAGCAGGAGTGACCACTTATATAGCATCGTGGACCCTGTCATGGGTCCTAGATAAACCTGCTCATGTCTCTGTGGAGCCACACAGCCACGGTAGTGTGATGTTCACCCCTGCCTCTCTTCTTCCAATCTTTCTGAAAGCCTTTTCACACCAAATTATAAAGTCAAAATTATTACAATTTTATCTGTATTCATAGGACTGTTTCAGATGTGACCATATCAGGGGTCTTCACAATGGTCACAGAGACCGCGCCCAGTGCTGGGGCAGCAGGTGCATGGCCCCCAAGTGGTCTTATAAACACACACACACTGGCTTGAAGCAGCTGCAGGGCTACGAGGTGGAAGACCCTGATGTTGAGAGGTTGGTCTAAACATACCATGTAGTATGCTAATTTATTTTCCTGCTCAGAAAAAAAATATTTTGCTAGGTTTTATCCTTGTTTTTATAAACCATTACAAAGTAAAGATTTTTTTTCTAACAACCATGCCAGGAAAACGAAGGTCACTACTTTTAAATGAATTTTACTTTGGAAGCAGTTTGGAACTGTAAGATTTTGGGTCATTCTTGCAGCGCTTTGCCCAGCTTTCCTCTTGGGCAATTTAAGTTACTTCTCTCTCTTTTCACCTTGAACAGGTGAACAGCATTCACCCAGAATGCCGATTTCATCTGGAAATACAGGAGGAAGAAACAAAATGTGCTGAGCTTCTCAGGACTCCGACAGACAAGCACACAGGTATGTGCAGGCCCAGGAGGAGTCCGCTCCACCCCCTCTGGCTTCCTTGGGTGCTGAAGTCTGCCTGCGTCTGGAAGGCAGGTCCACTGTGCACTTTCTTGTGAGCCTCTGGCAGACTCGGGGACCAAGCGGTGAGGTCTCCCCACACACCTGTCTTCTTAACGGCACAGACTTTCAGGGTCTGAGACGACAGCAATGGTTTCTGACCTCTGGTGGGCTTTGTCGCCCTCTGCTAAGGGCTCCATCTTTCCATGGAGTGAGCATTTATCTGACTCCTTGATTTTTAAGATCTTAGTTAGTCACCATGGTTTTGAACCAGTTAAGGATGGTGGAAACTTACCACAAAGCAAACAGGAAAAGGGGGCTTTGTTTTCCTGCCAACAGACCTATTGCAAATGTCGTGGGCCTGCTAGCCCCCCTGATGGGCAGAAGGCTGCTGGAGTCCGAGGACTCGGCCTGGGTGGCCCACACGGGCCCGCAGCGAGACTCTGTGACGATACCTATTGCCACAGTAGCAAGCCCTTTGTCCTGGCTCTTTCTTGTTCTCCACTCTATGCCACGACTTTACCTTCCTCAAGGAAGAAAGTCAGAGTAAGATTCTGTTAAAGCAGCCTTGTGTCCCACAGACGGTCTGAGGTGAGCTCTCTTCTAGACCAGCACTGCCCAGTGGAATGGGGTGCAGCCACATGGGTAATTTGAATTTTTCAGTAACCACATTAAAATAAGTAAAAAGAAGCACATGAGATTAATTTGAATAGACATTTTATTTGCCTGAAATATCCACTTGTGATTTCGACTCATCCACACAGAACTATCATGTTCACATTCCTCTCTGCCCCGAGTCTTAGACACCCAGGGTCACCATTGGGTCCTGTTTCCAGGTTGGAACCCCAGGCAGCTGGCAGCCCCCATACTGGTCAGTGCCGTTCTGATTGTTAAAACGGGCACCTTGCCCTCCTGCCCTGGGCCTCTGCATCCACACTGGAGACGGCCTCGGCTCCCGACTCTCCAGTGTCCATGACCTGTGATTCCCAGGTGCCCTGCACCTCTGCTGGCCACATCCTCTGGGTGTGTGGTTGGACTCTGTCCAGAGAACGGAGAGCACCTCCGCCCCACAGCTCTGCTGAGGTCCAGCTTTGTGAGGAGACACCAGCTGCCCGGGCAGCAGGCTGGACACCATGGCAAGCCGCTGCTGTGAGGCTGCCTGCTCAGTGGGAGCTGCAGGGCGTGGAGGGTTCCAGAAGAGAGTCTGAGGAGGCCCTTGGCATCGTGCGTTATCGGGGTCTGGCTTTCGCCAAAGAAATGTGTCTCCAGTTTGTCCAGCTTTCTGTTTTCAAAGGGTTTTCAGAAATGTAAACTTTACGTAAAATATTTCATTTTTTAAAAGTCTGGAAACAGGACATTAAATAAAAGTGTGGGAGCAGAGCAGACCTCTGTAGTCAGTCCAGAGGCAGCTCCCGGCTTGGTGCCGGCATCCCCTGTGAAAGCCGAGTCAGCACCCTGGAGAATACTCACAGGGCGCCTCCTCAGAGAGCCATGTGTGTCCGGGGCTCGCCGTGGCAGCATCTGGGCAGAGGGACAGGGCAGGTCCCACCAGGGCCTGGTGGGGAAGCCGCTCTGGGCTTTCCTGAAGTGACAGGTGTCTGCTTGAGCATCTGCCTGTCCCGAAGCCTCAGCGTCTCATTCCACCTTTCTGACTCACAAGTACTCTGCCAGCCGCCCTTGGGAGCAAAGCAGAGCTGACCACAGGCCCGGCCGCCCTGCAGCTCTGCAGAGACGGCCTGTGTCACAGAGCTTCACTTTACTCTTAGAAATATGCATGGCTCAAATGCCAGGGATATAAATAGTAGTAAGTTACCAAGATGAAGATACCGCAGGTGATGGGAACCAGAGCCGCGGGCAGCCAGAGCTGGGCAGGCGTTCTCAAGGGGCCGGGCCACAGGACAAGAGCACACTCAGGGTCAAAGGTGACCTTGAGGTTCCCGGGGACTGTGGGAGCAACTGTTAGAGCCTGAGGATTGAGGAATGGGTGCAAGAACAGCAGAGTGAGGGGAAGAGCGTTTCTAATGCTGGTGAGAGAATTCTGGGGTTCTGATGTGGCCGTCTCCCTCTTTGTGACATGAAAAAGCGTGTACCATAGAGAGGCAAAGCCCAGTTTCAGTTCTGAGCTCTTTAAAAGTACTCTGAGCACAAGAGCTGGGTGACCTCATCCCGATTCCTCACCGAGTCCAACTTGATCTTGCCACTGGAGGACCAGGCCCATCCAGGCCACAGAGGCGAGCCCTGTGACAGGGAGCGCAGCCCCAGCAGGCGGGCAGGTGTCCTACCCGCAAGGCCGCTGGGGGCCCTCCTGCCCGCTCCTTGCACCTGGGCCAGCTGGTGTAGGCAGAGCAGGTGCCTGCACTTTGGGGCCATCCCTCCCTGTGGCCATCCCTCCTGGGCCATGAGTGGAGACCACAGCTGAGCCATGGTGGTCAGTATCCACTTAGGACCCGTGAGGAAGATGGTTCAAAACAAAAGGCACAAAACCAACGTTGACCTGTCCATCAGGAACCGTGCGGGGTTCGAGATTGCTCCCTACTGCAGACTGACCAGGTTGCAGCCACACTTCCATAGACCAGGCCAGAGGAGAGATGGCCCCAGGGCTCCACACGCATCTGTGTCACAGCCAAGGAGCCCAAGCCCAGGAAAGTCCAATGTCCACAGGAGGCTGCTGGCCAGCCCACCAGCTGTGGCTCAGAGACAGAGAGCCTTGGCCACTGGGGAGACCAGAGGGAGACTGTCTTCCAAGGGTGCTGGCTACAGGTCATCCTCAGAGGACGGCTGGGAACACAGGATGGTGCCTCTCCTCAGGACACCATGAAGGACTGTCCACAAGCCAGAGCTGCCACTTCCCTGTTGGCTTTGACTCTCCAGGGATGCCGGGTGGTTACCTCAGTGACCATGGCTCACTGTGGCTTCCGGTCCTTCCACTACCTGGTCATTGAGGAAGAGATGGTGTCTTGTTTCCTGTTGTAGCTTCAAAATCTGATACCGCCTTTAAAGACGATTCAAAAGCTTTTGCCGAGGGATTAGTGAAAATTGTCACATTAGAAATCAAGTGTGCAGCGGGGGTGTAGCTCAGTGGTAAAGCAATTGCCTCATGTGCATGAGGTTCTAGATTTGATCCCCAGCATCACGAAGTAAGAAAGAGCAGGGAAACGTGAGAAAGGAGGAGGAGAAGGAAGAGGAGAAAATAAAGCAATTCAGTGACACAGGCACATAGAAGAAAACCGCTAAAATATACACACAGTGCCGGAGCTCACGCCTGCAGACCTGTCCCGGGGCCATTCAGTCCCGTGGAAGTGCATTTCCTTTAGTCAGCCTCCTGCTCTCCTCTTCTGTTTTAGTTTTTCATCTGAACAGTGCATTTTCAGACTGACCAGCCTTCGTCCCTGAGCTCTTAGGCAGCTGACGCTATTTTGCTCCTACAAACAATGTCTCAGGATTGGTTTTTCATTGGAAAACAATATCCCAGCCCTGGGGGGGGGGGGTGATTCCAAGCCATGGTTGAAGCTGCCACTGCTGCTTGTGGCCCTGTGTCCTCACCTGAAGCCCCACGTTCACGTCTGTGATGGTGGTACCCAGGTTATACCCTCAATGACACCCGCTCTTCTCTGGCCCTTCCTTATATCTCACCGTCACAGTGAATGCTCATCAGTATCCATGAATGGCTTCTCTTTCTAAAGTCCTGACAAGTGTGCCTCCCTGGCGTGCTTCCTGCGCCCTGCCCAACTGCGTGATCCGCTGCAGGGGTTGCTCTGGATCTTGGCTGTGGTGTGGTCTGGCCCTTCCTGGTCCTTGGAGACATCAGGGCCTGACTGGTGTGAACCAGTAGTGGGTGGGGATCACGTCTGTGTCTGTGAGGGGTGGAGCCGGTGGAATGAGGACGGAGCTGCTGCCTCCTGGAGACAGGGCGGCATGGCCTGCCACCGTGGGTCTCTTTCCCCCGTGTTTCATCTGGCACAGGCTCCTGGGCGGGTCTGCAGAGGTGCACAGCTGGTCTGCGTTCTCGGTGTTCTTTTCTGTACTTTTGCAGACCCGTGCCTAGACTTGTATGTTTAAATAATCGATGACTCTTTAATGATTTGGATTTCTGAACATGCCTTTAAATGTACTTCTCAGAGGAAAAAGAAAATTGCCTGAAATAAATTCTACCCTGAATCAGGTTTTATATGGGCTCACCCCAGGAGTCTGTGGGGAGCTAGTCGGAGGTGGGGCCTGGAGGACAAAGCTGTGGATCTCAGGAGCTCCAGGAGAAGGCCTGGGTGACCCTGGGGCTGACTGGTCCGGGCAGCCTCCTCTGTGGCCCTCTCTCCCAGCCGATGCCCGCCCTCCATGCCTCAGCGTCCTTGCTCCTGGCTTCTCCAGCCTCCTCTGGTCCTTGGGTCTGGGCTTTCCTGGCTCTTCTCACAGCAGCCTGGCCTCCATCCTCAGAAGCTGATCCTTCCCCTGTTGCAGGCGGGGTGCCCAGTGCCTTGGCTAGGTGACCAGTGAGATTCCAGCCAGCCAACTTCAAGGCTGCTTTGTGTGTGCCACCTCACATCCTGGCTTCCCAGCCACAACTGTGTGGCCCTGGTCTGGGGCCCCTCCTCTTCCCAGGGAGCAAGTGGAGGGGGCTCTGGGGCTCGCGGGCCTGCATGGCCTCTGGAGTAGCGTGCTCCACACCAGGCACAGCAGTGCACAGCTCTGCTCTCCATGGCCAGGTGACGCCAGCTGCCTCCTGGCAGCAGAGGCCGTGGGGCCATGGTCACTGCCTTGATGGACAGCAGCTTGTGCCTCCGTGGGGCTCTCGCAGGTTTTCTGTGGCCTCTGGCTTTGCACAGTTCTGATTGTAGGGCCAAATGCCGCCTCTCCCAGAGGACAGGCATCTGAGTCTCTCTGTTTGCAAGCTTCAGAGGCTGCCTCAAAGCTCTCGCACCCAGGGGCTGTGGTCCACCGGCCACCTTGTGCCCCGGACC